GGATTACAGGCCTGAGCCACCGCGCCCAGCTGCCTATTCTTATTATTAATGAAATAATAACAACAGCAAACAATAGGAAAAGTGTTCTTCTCTGTTTCATATTTACCTTCCTCAGTTCATTTTCTGTGTGTTCTGCTTTTTTAAAAAATGTGAACATTCTTTTCTTCTTGGTTTTACATTTCACTTTTGAATTTCCTTTTGTGTTTTTTTCAGTTAATGGGTCCTCTTTGGTGCTTTTTGCAGAAACCTTTGATACATTAAAATAATAAGTTGTGTTTAACGTGTCAGTAGAGCCACTGCTGTAACTTCCAGCCATATCTGCAAGATCCGCAGTGGCCTGGAAGGCTCATTTTTCTCTCCCTGGTTCTATCGACTCATAGTTTGGTAACTGTGTGATCTGAATCTCTCTTCTTCTGAAAAGCATTAGATAATGAAAAGAAATGCCAGGGCAACTTTATGAAAGAGAAACAGCATCCCCCTTCTATTATTCCCCCAAACCCCCTACACACACACACACACACACACACACACACACACACACACACGAGCCAGCCGGGGCCAGGATAATGCACACATCAGCAAGAGGCAGGAAGGCTCAACTCAGAGCTGGGAGTCGCAGCTTTCTCCTCCATCTGTCCACACCACCTCCCGCCTCCTGCATCCGTCCACACCACGTCCCTGCTGCTGTGTCTGTCCTCACCACACCCACTCTAAGCTGTCAGGGCCCAACCCCAGCCACCCGCTGTCTGAGGATCTCGGCTCCTCTGATTTCTTTTGTAGACAGCTGAGAGCGACCCCCTCCCTCAGCCCTGGGGCACAGGACTTCTGCCGTGGGTGTATTTGGGAGGCATCTGCGGGCTGCCCTCTGTGCTGGTTCCTGGGAGCCGGCATCTCTCGGGGGACTCGCACATAGGAAGGGCTGATGAAGTTGCTCTTGCTGGCTTGAGATCCCACAGGACCCCAGTTCCATAAGCCGTGCTTCCCGCCAGGAGGAACCGAAGCTCTTGCTCTTCCATCCCAGCAGTCCTCAGCTGCTCTATGGTGTGTCATAAAACAAGAACTCACAATCAGATGCTCACTTTGGCGATAACTTTTGTGTTCTACAGACGAGAAAAGAATGAGAAAGGAAACCCTTCCCAGCACAGGTTGAGGGAGGCAGAGAGGAGGTAGCCATCCTTGGTGAGTCTGGGTGTGCCGTCCAGGCTGCGTGGAGTTTGAGATAAAGACCCAAACATCTGGCGTGGGTGTTTTCTATGCCCCGGCCATCAGATAGCAGACCTGGTTCTGGAGCACAGCCTTGATTTCCCCAGATATCCAGGGACCCACAGAAGCTTTGCTTTGGATGTGTGTGGAGGTACGACCAGACCCCGGAGGGACCGCAGATCTCCCCAGACATCCCCATCCTAGGCAGGCGGATCCACGTCTCAGGGCAGGGGCTGCATCCCCGGGCCACTCAGCTGCTGACCTTTGCCGTGGCTGAGTACTTTTTCAGATTGGCTGCTCTTCCAGGCAAAGGAGCAGATGGATAAAGCCATGCTTCCAAGGCTGGAAAGAAAGAGAAAGGCCGCTTCCCTTACCTGATTGCCCTGGCCAGAACTTCCAACAGTATGTTAAATAGGAGTGGTCAGAGAGGGCATCCCTGTCTTGTTCCAGTTTTCAAAGGGATACTTCCAGTTTTTGTCCATTCAGAATACCTAGGTGCTGGTGCTGCCCCACCCAGACCCCTTTACCGGCAGGGCCCCGTTCCCCAGCGGCCTCCAATGTTGGCTGACAAAATCTCCCAGTCGTTCCTCTCCAGGAGTTCCTCTGCAGGGACAACCAGTCCCCTGCCTCAAGGCTGGACCAAGCCCAGGTGTGCCATGCTGCAGGGCTGCCTGCGGAGGAACACAAGCCCAGGTGTGCCATGCTGCAGGGCTGCCTGCCGAGGAGCACAAGCCCAGGTGTGCCATGCTGCAGGGCTGCCTGCGGAGAAGCACAAGCCCAGGTGTGCCATGCTGCAGGGCTGCCTGCGGAGAAGCACAAGCCCAGGTGTGCCATGCTGCAGGGCTGCCTGCGGAGAAGCACAAGCCCAGGTGTGCCATGCTGCAGGGCTGCCTGTGGAGGAACACAAGCCCAGGTGTGCCATGCTGCAGGGCTGCCTGCCGAGGAGCACAAGCCAGGCCTGGCTGTATTGCATCCTTGGGGAGCTGGGTGCTGGCTGGGTGCCTGCTCAGCCTCCTCCCCGGAGCACCCTCAGCAAACACATGGGAGCCTCTTGTTGGACTAATAGGGCATGTTTGAGAAAATAGTGAGTGACGTTGTTCTGCGGAGAGCAGGGTGGGTGACGTTGAAAGCAGTCAGGAGGTTCAGAGGAGCCTGTGCCAGGGGCTGCGTGGCTGTTTCCCACCGTTGGTGACAAGCATCGCATCTCCAGGTCTCTTAGTCCTGGTCTCCCCCTATGCTGGGGTCCTGGCTTCCTGTCACCTTCACGCCCACCATTTTCCCAAGTGTGGACCTTTCGATCATTCCCACTGGTGAGTTGTGAAGGCCAAGAAATGGAGAGTGGCCACAAATCAGCGCCGGCAGCTTTGGCAGAGGCTGTGGGGAACCAGGAGGCTGGGGTGAGAGCAGACATGGAGGAGCAGCTTGAAGCAGCTTGGGAAGACAAGCCCTCTACACGGCACTGCCAGCAGCGAAAGAAGACGGGGCCCACCTGGGAGATGGGCAGGAGGGGCACCCGACAGCAATGATGTCCAGGTCTGACAGTATGGCATCTGCCCAGGTCCAGTAATTCAGAGTAACCGTTTCCTCCACATGACCAGGTAAACAAATACCAGAAGCATTTTCACAAGAATTGCCATGAAAAATTCAGAGAGCTGTTTACAAGGTTCAAGGTTTTCTTTTTCTCTTTTTGAGAAGGCACCTCCTCTATCACCCAGGCGTAAGTGCGGTGGCACAGTCATAGCTCACTGCAGCCTCAACCTCCTGGGCTCAAGCAATCCTCCCACCTCAGCCACTCACATCCCTGGGACAACAGGAGTGCACCACCGTGCCTGGCTAATTTTTAGTTTTTTTAAATATTTGTAGAAACAGAGTCTGACTGTGTTGCCCAGGCTGGTCTCGCTCTCGGGCTCAAGCAGTCCTCCCACCTTGGCCTCCCAAAATGCTGGGATTACAGGCGTGAGCTACCACGCCCGACTCAAGATTCAAGTTTTAAGGCCCTATTGGTCAGAACTAAGGGTGCTTCTGCCCAACCTCAACAGCTCCCAGGGGAGGCTGCACTGTCTGAGCCCAATCACTTACCGGGGACATCTCAGATCAGATGAGGAGCCAGTGGGGAAGAGGAGAGACACACTGTTCAGAGCTCTGGCAAGATCAGACACCGAGGAGGCGCAGTGTCTGCGAGGCTCGGATGAAGGGCACGGGTTTGCTCTCTGTTCGTAGCTGGTTGGGCACAGGTGGAGCTGGGAACCTCAGGCTTAGGCCTCAGGAGTTATCTGTCTGTACTTGCTGCATCCCCTGGCTCACAAGTCAAACTTCAGGTAGGCAAGAAGGGGAAGAGGTGTCTTCCTTAAAATAGCTTGCACTTGAATTTGAAATTGTCTTGGCCGGGCACGGTGGCTCACGCCTGTAATCCCAGCACTTTGGGAGGCCAAGGTGGGTGGATCACGAGGCCAGGAGATTGAGACCATCCTGGCTAACACGGTGAAACCCCATCTCTACTAAAAATACAAAAAACAAGACGGAGCCACTGTACTCCAGCCTGAGCAACAGGGCGAGACTCTGTCTCAAAAAAAAAAAAAAGAAAGAAAGAAAGAAATTGTCTGAGTCTCTGGGCTAAAGAGAGAGAGGCCTTTTCCTTTCTATTGTAGTGAGAAGAAACCAAAGAATGTTCCAGGGAGCAGAAGGTGCTGCCTGAGTTCTGGACGTGGGAAGAACACAGACCTTCTCATGCGGCTAGGAGGAGCCCCCAGGACACCTGTGTGGTTCAGAAACGCTGCCACATAAATTGCGCCTGAGGTGGAGGGCTGTTTGCAGGATGAAGTCAGAACTTCTCTCTGGGATGCTGACCCATAGCACGGTGCTTCTCACCAATGGATGAACTAGCACAGGACCGGAAACCCCACTGGGGAACATTTGGATGCCGCCTTTTCCTTCTTGTCTGTCCAGGTCTCCGAGGTGGAGCGGGACAGCGGGGAGCAGGTGCACCCTCAGTAAACGCCCAGGCCACACAAGACTCATAGCTCTCCCTGGTCTCCCTGAAGGGCCAAATTACATGCTTAGGAAATGCATTCTGGCGCCTGGAAGGAACATATTACAAGTGTATAAATAATATTGGTTATTTTTAAACAATCTGCTTGCCTTCCTAAACTTGTAAGCTAAAAGAGAAGATTCATATTCTAGAATTATGCCTATTATGCTTCATTTGGATGTAGTTTATTGACCAAAATATTCCCCTTAAATACCAAAACAATTTGAGACTGATTTTTCTGTCTGAAAGAAACACTGTTAAACCTGAAAGTAGAATCTTTGTACGTAATTCTCCTGGGGCCATGTGTCAAATCATAATTTCCAGGCCCTGCGATTGCACTGTAATTTTCCATTGACAGAGCTCTGTGCCAAACAACATGCTTTGATTTAATCCTCACAGAGGCTCTAGGAATTAGGTGTTGTTGCTTTGTAGAAAAAGAACTGCTCCCCGCCATCAGTCATCCAGCCAGGAGTCGAGCTGCCCAGCCTGGCCCGGTGGCCACCGTTGGCTCGACAGAGACGCTGTCTCTTGCCACTGCCAGCCCCATCACCATCCTGGGAAGGAGGCCCTATAAACGCACCTCCTGAATATTCATGAAAAACATCAACAAGAACGCCTTTCTGGGAAGTTCAGCTGAGGCCTTTATTGCAAGGCGAGAAGAGTCCAGCTCCCTGGGGATGTCAAGGAAGATGCTCTTCTCCACTGCCACTCGAGGCGACCCTCCTCTGGTATCCTGGGCCTCACTGAGACGCTTTTCCTTTCTGCACAGATCATCACCCTGAGGGATTACGTCCCCAGGATCCTGGGACCCGAGGCCTTCCAGCAGTACGTGGGCCCCTATGAAGGCTATGACTCCACCGCCAACCCCACTGTGTCCAACGTGTTCTCCACGGCCGCCTTCCGCTTCGGCCACGCCACGATCCACCCGCTGGTGAGGAGGCTGGACGCTGGCTTCCAGGAGCACCCTGACCTGCCCGGGCTGTGGCTGCACGAGGCCTTCTTCAGCCCATGGACGGTCCTCCACGGAGGTGAGTGAGTGCGGTCCCTGCAGCTGGTCCCTGTGAAGTCGCCCTTCTTTTTTTATATTTTTATTTTTTTATTATACTTTAAGTTCTAGGGTAAATGTGCACAACGTGCAGGTTTGTTACGTAGGGTAGACATGTGCCCTGTTGGTTTACTGCACCCATTAACTCATAATTTACATTAGGCATTTCTCCTAATGCTATCCGTCCCCCTGCCCCCACCCCACGACAGATGGGGTGTGATGATCCCTGCCCTGTGTCCATGGGTTCTCATTGTTCAATTCCCACCTATGAGTGAGAACATGCGGTGTTTGGTTTTCTGTCCTTGCGATAGTTTGCTGAGAATGATGATTTCCAGCTGCATCCATGTCCCTGCAAAGGACATGAACTCATCCTTTTTTATGGCTGCATAATATTCCATGGTGTATATGTGCCACATTTTCTTAATCCAGTCTATCACTGATGGACATTTGGGTTGGTTCCAAGTCTTTGCTATTTTAAATAGTGGCACAATAAACATACATATGCATGTGTCCTTATAGTAGCATGATTTATAATC